ACATGTTTTATTATATGTTGTAATGCTAACATTCTAGAAGAGAGACAATATAAGTAACGAGATAAAAAATGGATAATGTGTCATTTTTTTCGTTTAGCAACTATAAATGATAATCCATCGAAGTATTCCATAGCATTTATAGCACAGTCATAATATCTTTTCCCAAGATTATCGATACGGCGTTGAATAGCAATTGCTTTTGCTTGCTTTGGTCTTGGTCCTAAGCCTGCACTAAATTGAATACGCATATGGTGAAAACTATTCTCTTCTCCTTGTAGAAATTGTATAAACGACCAAATATTTGGATGATTAACTTGTACTCGATGATTAAACCGACTATGAAATGCTAAATAAAACATAATAAAAATTAAATTACGAGTTAAATAGAAAAGAATTTTACCCTCGGCATTATTATTGGTTCTCATATTCATACCATGAACATACCATTGAGAAATCGAAACTTTCAAAAACCATTCCTCTTGAAAATATTCCATTAAATCATTCAGTACGTTTCTCAAGTTTATTGACATTGTTGCAATTAATTCATCATATGTATTTTCAATAATAGCTTCTGGGAATAGGCGAAGAGCCATCAACTTTCGACAATATTGGTTGACACCATCATTATTATTATAACTTGTTGATAAACCGACTCGTTGTATCGCTCGATAAATGGCTTGCGTGAAATGAAAACAATAAGATGTACGTGTTGCTGTAACAAACTGTAAGAAAGAAAAATCTGAAAGCTATTCACGAGAAATATAAAACACACATCAGTTGTAACTACAGCTAATAGACATGGTTCAAAACCGCTCATAATTGATTTTGGTGTGCAGTTCATTTGCATTTGTACAGCTATTGATTTCAACTCATTAAACATGAAATGATAGGTACCTTTCAACCGATTTGGTAATAAGCCGACAACAAAGGGAAATGCTAAACAGAGACACAGTTAAATGCAAGTATATGATCAATAGCCTACCTACTCACATTGATCATGTTTTATTGCATGAATTGTACAAACTTCATCAAACATGCTTCTCACGGCATCCTTGGAAGCCTTGGCAATGCTTCAAAAGGCCTATGGAGACCATAGGGGTTTTCGGGAGGTCCAAAGTTCCATGGGTTCTCACTTCACAACCTTTTGGAATCCTTGGATTCTGATAGAATTCATCATGATCTACAGTATTCCAAGTGCCAGACTTTGTTGTCTCTCATGGAATCCTTGGAATCGTGATGGAAAATCCAAGGTTTCCGTTTTGAGGAAAGTCAGCCAGGTCTCCGCCATGTTTTCTTGTTTCCGTTTTTCTGTGTTTTAAGGTTTCCTGTTATACGTTGGGTGTTTTTACATCTAATTAAGGTTTTGTTTTGGTTTTTTATTTGTAGTATAATTAGTTTATATATGGTTAATTAATTTTTATTATTATTAATTAATGAATTAATTAGTTAATTGGGTTAGTCATTTTGTTGAAGTTTTTTTTTCGAATGTTATTGTGTGTGTTTTAAGATTCACTTCGGATTGGATTCAAGTTCGAATTTCTGGACTCTAGCATTTCCATAATCGACGACATAGAGATTCCCGTGTCGATCGAATGACAAACCGATGGGTCCATTGAGTTGGTTCGATTGTTCTCCTTTACCGTTTCCACCAACAATGACACTTCCTTGTGTGGCTCCTTTATGCCAACGCATGATTTGATTATTCCCTGCATCAGCCACATAGACAGTGCCCAATTGATCGACAACGACTCCTAGAGGAGATGACAATTGTGTAAGATCATTTCCTTCTCCTTGACCACCAGCCACGACAATGCCTTGTTTTGCACCTTCCATCCATTTCATCACACGATGATTTATCCGATCAGATACGTACACTGAATGATCTCGATCGACGAATACGTATCGTGGGAAAGAGAGTTGATCGAGACGATTTCCACGTCCATTGCCACCTGCAACCACTGTTCCTTGAGATTCTCCTCTTCGATATCGTCTCACTTCAGCTTCTCCATAGTCAGTGATATAGAGAGATCCATTCTCGTCCATTGTCAAACCCCAACAAGAGATGTTGGAGATGATTGTTTCTCCACTTGTCCCATTTCGACGAGGCCATCGAACCACTCTTCCATTCGAAGTATCGCATATGATGAGACTATCTCTCTCTTTGTCGATAATCACATCATATGGGTCATCCAATTGATGATCTCCACTTCCTTGTCCATTTCCACCGGCAACCACTTGGCCACTTGTTGCACCTCGTTTCCATTCCACAATACGGTGATTTGATTGATCAGCAACATAGATTGTTTGATCATCATCAACATACAAACCCCATGGGTTTGAGAGTTGATTGATTCCATTGCCTTGTCGATTTCCTCCAGCCACAGTGATACCATTTTGTTGCCATCGAGCATTCGGATGAATGTTGGTGCTGAATGGAGAACGTAATGGATAGTCTAAAATAGAGACAAGAAAAATTATTAAAATAAGAGAGAGAATTTTTCTTTGCCTAGAAATTGGATTTGCTACAAGACGAGAATTCTTTTTGAGTCAAATTCTCAACTTTATCAACAACAATTATTTTTTTAACTCTTTTTTTTGTAGTTTTTTGTTTAGGATGATAGAGAATGTATGAGAAAGATGAAGACATTGAATGAGAAGTGTGGGTTTTCTTCTATGATTTTGCAACTAATTCATGTATACAAAATCATGTAATGATCAAACTAGTTTTTGGATATGTTACGGATCATCTCTTTCTTGGAAGCATGTCTTTTATTATATTGCTGATCTATGAAAGAGTCTCTCGAATTTTTGAAACATTATTCTATGAATTATATATGGCATATTTCTTGTTCTACTTTCATTTGCAATTATCTCATCAAATTGTAAATGCGAGAAACATGCAACGTTCCTCCATGTAAACTCGCTTTATTCTCGATTAAATATTTGGCTCGTTCGCTATTTTATACTTCTTTGTAGCTCTCAACAAAGCTATTATCCAACATTTGAAAAAGTATATGTGTGGATGCTGGTACTAGTATCAAGCTTATTGTGCATGATGGTATGCCTGTCTGTGTGAGGATTTTTGTCATAAATTCGTCTCATCAAACTGATACCCACACATCGATACTCAACAGAAATCTAAATGAACTACACGCACTAGAAAAAAACAGATTATATTTACAATTTACTGAAAGGATCACGAACAAGGGGGGGGAGGGGATCGACTGATATAAAAATCAGCTAAAAACTCAAAATTAAATCTGTTATATCATCTTAACTTATTTTAAATCAGCTTTTAACTCATTGTAACTCAGCATAAATCATTTTAAATCAGTATAGCTTTAAAAAATTCTTACAGTCGAAAAAATATACTCAAACTTGATTCTTTTGTTCAATCATTTTTTTTGAAATTATTTAATTAAAATGAAAAAATTCATACTAGCACACAATTATTGAATATTTTCTTTATATCTTATAGCGTCGAATATATTTCGCTCTGTTCTACTAATATATATAGAAAACATGTGATACAATTGACAATAAAAATATTCTAACGAATGAATGCTTTTTTTCATTCTTATATAACTAGACTACGTAGAATAAAAAAAAACAGACAAAGACAAAACTCAATCCACCTCGTGTATCTACACTGAAATGAAGCGATCCACAATTTATATTATTTCTTTTTATCTGTTATCGTTCTTTAGATCGATTATTTTCATATGACCATTGTGACGGATTCTACCCGTCACTACTCTTAATGTTCTATTCATTAATCATTCTCTCTCTCGTTTTTCTCTCTGCTGGAATATATATATACTGCGTTCATATATTATCGTTATTCATTATTGAAATAATCTCAGAACGAGTGAGTCGTTCCATCACACGTGGCGATCACACCAATCGAATTTTGGTTACATTTTTCCCTTCACTTCAGCACATTATTTTTTAAAAAAATTTTTCATCTTGTTCTTTGGTTTTTTTTTTCTTTTCTTTTTACTATTATTAGTAGTCTCCTATTTTTCTGTCTTATGTTAGCACGATCCTATTTTAACTATGACCGAGTCTGACATGCAGAAATTACATAAATATCTCACTAGTCATCGAGATGAACTACAACTTAAAGCAACACGCACAACTTCTATCGAAACCACGTTGACCACCGTACAGTCCACAGTAACTCAATTCGAACAGAATTTCAATGAGAAAATAAATCATCTCTCCACGGCTCATGAATTAAAATATCAGCAATTAGATGACACGATTCAACACCTAGATACTCAATTTCAAGACTTTCGTACTTATGTTTCTACACAAATATCCGAATTAACGGCTGAAATTCGTGCAATACTTGCTGCTGTTCGTACTTCCCCATCCGTACCCTCTCCAACAACTCCATTACCTCGCTCTTCTTCTAATAACTCCATACACTCTCATTCTTTACTAAATGGTCCTTCTCCACAAAACACCTTACTCTCTCTCTCTCTCTCTGCACGACAAACAGTCATCATCCAACAACCTACAATAGCTCCGTCTTTTTCAGGCAAAACTGAAGAAAAACCACGTCCATTCCTCTTACAACTCCATCAATATACCAACTCATCTTATGGATGGGACAAAGAAATGTTACTTCAAAATATAGGCCAATTTTTGAAAGGTACTGCTTTTGACTGGTATACTCAAATCGAGCAAGAATGGAATAGATGCATTCAACGACCTGATGAATCAATCAACGAATTTCTCGTTCGTTTACGCAGTCTTTGGTCAGAACATAAACCGAACGAAACGGAGCGCCATCTTGTTAGACACCTTTTTACTAAAATTCGACCTGCATTAGTCCCTCTGATCGGTATTCTTAGCGATCCTACTCTTGAAAATTTTCTTGAGCGAGCCCGAGAAGCTGAACTTATTGATTTTTCTCGTTCCAAAAAACAAATGTGCATATTGAAAAATCTAATACTACTATTTCAGCTACTCTTCATTCGTCAACTCGCTCCCACACATCTAATTCTCGTCAATCTCATATTATCTGCTATAAATGTAATATTCCAGGACATTTAGCATCCCAATGTACTCGTACTCAATCTTCCAGATATCCTTCAAATTCAAAAAACTAAGACGGAGTCTTACTGATGGGAGGTGGCAGGGCTCCGAAAATTATCTAAATAAAAAATCCTCTCTCTCTCTCTATTAGTTCTATCCATAATTCTTTCATTTCTTCTTCCCAACTATTACATGTCAATGGTACATTAGAAGGGTACCCAACAAAATTTACTATTGACACTGGCTCGAATTTAACTGTACTTAGTGTTGAGGCATTTCATCAAATCGAGCAAAAGTCATGCAAACTTATCCCTATTAAATCTCCATCCCTAACAGTACGTTGTGCTAATGGACAATCTTTACGTACACACGGTCTCTTCGAATTGAACATTTCTTTTTTCCATAAGACATTTTTACATCCAGTTTATATTCTACTCCATCTACAACATTTCTGTATCATCGGCTTGGATTTTTTACGAAAACATGATATTCATGTCGGCAGTACACACGATCAAATTATTTTTCCGAAGCAGTCACAAGATACAAATTCTTTTGCATCTCAATCGCCATCTCTCGATCAGTGTAACACTTCTTCTCTTACCTCTTCCAATTCGTCATCATACTCTTTAGCAACTATTGAAGCACATTCTTTACCTCCATACCACTCTACCCATGAAAAAAAATTTGGTATAAAAATGCGTTTCAACGCATTTTTTTTCTAGTCTACATGTTTTCGCTAGATCTTAAACGCAGTTTTTAAAACGCATTGAAACGCATCTTTTTATTGATAGAAACGCATATGTATCGACTAAAACGTGTTTCTAAAAATGCATTGGAATGCATCTTTTTTCACTGAAACGCGTTTAAATGGCATTTTATTATTACAAAAGAACGCATATGAGCGATCCTTCTGAATCATTCTGAAAGTATCCTATTTATAGATAATTTTCCAGTAATGATGGATATATTTATCTAATCTATGTACATATACTTCCTAAGAAGTTAGTAAGAATTACACTTGTGTTTTCCTCCTCTAAAAGACATTTTTTTACATATATTATCGGTAAATATGTAAAAAAATCTTTTAGAAGAGGAAAACACAAGTATCATTCTTGCTAACTTCCTAGGAAGCATATATACACAGATTAGATAAATATATCCATCATTATTGGAAAATTATCTATAAATAGGATACTTTCAGAATGATTCAGAGGGGATCACTCAAACTCAAACTCTCATTAGGTTGCCACAATTAGTTAGATCTAACTAAAGTTCTGCATGATAATTTTCACTTCTTGGCAGGATAGATAGAGTTAACTTACGACAAACGAAAAGGAAGGTATAGTTCCAGTAAAAGAAACGAAAGAAGGATATGGATAGTTAGAGTAAAATAAGCAAAAGAAGGATACTATTGAGTATAGTAAACGAAAGATGAATATTGTTAGAATATAGTATGCGAAAGGAGGATATGATTAGAGTAACATGAAGGAAGACAGGATACGATTAGAGTATAGTAAACGAAAGAGACTTCGTGGTTAGGGTTAATATAACGAAAAATACAGTAATGTTGGACCGAAGAAAAGTTTAGTAGATAGAAAAAAAAGACGGAAAAATTATCTTGGAAAAATCTAATTCGAGCGGAACGTAGAAAATCTAGTGCAGAATTATATAGGCAAATCGACTAATACTAACACAACACTTTCATTGAAAAACAAATTTATAAGAAATTTTCTGCTCTTCTACGTGTGAATTCAAAATTGCAATTAAATAAAACTGAATTATATCCGAAAAATATATCTAATTAGCTATAACCCATGTAAAAAATTTTCTTCAAAAAATCAAGAAATAATCAATTTTCAATCGATTATAATCATACGATTTTAATCAATAATTTAAGCAGTAATAATCATAGCAAAATCAAGTTTTAACCGATTATTTCAATTATTCTGATTATAATCGATTTTTAAAAATATTCTAAATCGATTATAATCAGAATAATTGAAATAATCGATTAAAACTTGATTTTGTTATGATTATTACTGCTTAAATTATTGATTAAAATTGTATGATTATAATCGATTTGTTGATAATTTCTTTTATATGGGAATTATGCCGCCATCTATTGAAGAATTTTGATTTTCCAAAAAATAATTCAGGCTCATCCGCAAAGACATTTCAGTTTATAAATAGAAAAAAGAAAAATTTTTCTAATAAAAAGTTTACTCACCGATACTATTATGTACGTTAAATTACGTCTACTACATCTTTTGTTGAATAACAAGGAAACTTTCTGGAATTCTGAGATTGCATAGAAGTTACGAAAGTGATGGAATATATCATATTCAGCACTCTGCACTGGAATTATCATTGTAATTTTAGCCACTAAGAGAAAGATTACTATTTATCTTCAATTGTTAGTTTTTTTAAAATTAAATACATGCTTTTTTTCTATGTTATTCGACTGTTTTTTATCTTATTATATCACAAAGAATTGTTCTGAAGAGTAATACCTTTTAACTTTTCTATGTTCACATTGATATCACATAACGTTTACTCTAATTAAAACATATTTGTATTCTCTAGAAGCATATCTTTACTGGAAGCACTTACATACAAGCATTCGTTCAAACGCTTTTCTAAACTATCCGTTTTTTCTAGAAAAAACTCATTAAAAAGAACAACGTTATAACGCGTTTCGAAAAAAAACTCATTTTTCGATCAAAGAAGGCTAAAAAACGCATTTGAATGCAAATCAAACAAACGCGTCGAAACGCATAAAACGAAACGCATTCAAACAGTGTTTTTAAGTTGCGTTTTAATTTGGAAAAACGCGTTCAAAATAAAAAGGATGCATTTAAATGCGTTGGAAAAAGACATCGATGCGTTTAAACGCGTTGAACTTACAAAAGGATGCGTTTAAACGCAAAAATAGCGTTTTTTTCCTAAAAGTTTGCGTTGAAACGCATTTTTATACCAAATTTTTTTTCATGGGCATGATTATCCCTGTTCAACCTACGAAACCATTCTCTAAATTTTCTCCAGATGAAATATATTCCGTTTCCTCACTTCATGAAAATCCTCGTGTAGCCAATGGTCTTATCTCACCAAGTAAATCACTTTTTATTGAAATCTCAAATTTTTCTCATGACTCTATCGAGGTTCATCCTCAACAAAAACTAACCGTTATGGAACTATTGATTGAACATCAATTGAATAGCGTATCAAGATTATCTCATACACCTCATCATATTGAAGAAGAACAAATATGTCTCCCTGATTTATCCTATTCTGACTTAAACGATATTCAAAAAGCTAAACTAGTTACACTTATTAAACAATATCCACAAGTTTTCACCGAGAAACTTGGTCGGACTCATCTTGTTAAACAAGTAATCGAACTTCAACCAGGAACACAATCCGCAAACACTCAACCATATCGTCTCTCCCCATCTAAAAAAGCTATAGTCGATCAACAACTAGAAGAGATGCTCCAAGCTGGTCATATTACTCCTTCACATAGTCCTTGGGCATCTCCAATCGTATTATCCCCTAAAAAAGATGGTACACTCAGATTTTGTGTTGATTATCGAAAGTTGAATGCTAATACAATTCGTACAGCATATCCTATGCCTCAAGTTGACGATACCCTTGATTCACTCAGGGAAGCAGCGTTTATTACTCATCGCGGCCTCTATGAATTTTTAGTCATGCCTTTTGGACTGTCTAATGCTCCTGCCACATTTCAGAGATTAATGGATCTTATCTTAGCTGGAATAAAATGGCAGTCATGTCTTGTCTATATAGATGATATTGTCGTATTCTCTTCCACCTTTGAACAACATCTTAAAGATTTATCCTCTGTCTTTGATCGTCTCAAAACTGCTGGACTTACTCTTAAAGCCTCAAAATGTGATTTTTGTAGAAAAGAATTAAAGTACTTAGGACATATTATTACTCCTGACGGTATTAAACCTGAGCCCGGTCTAATCGACTCCGTGAAACTTTTTCCTCAACCTACACGATTAAAAGACATTCAATCATTTTTAGGCTTAACTGGATACTACAGAAAATTCATAAAAGATTACGCTAAAATACGTTCTCATCAAAAATCTAAACGTCCACCAAATAACATAGAATGGTCTGTTGAGTGTACTATAGCCTTTGAACGATTAAAAACTGCACTTACTCAGGCTCCTATACTTCGAGCTCCAAATTTTAATGAACCTTTCATTTTGGAAACAGATGCCTGTGATTATGGTCTTGGTACTGTCCTTACTCAAGAATATGATAATAAAAAATTTGTTATTGCTTACGCTAGCCGAACTCAAACAGCAGCTGAGAGAAATTATTTTCCTACAGAAAAAGAAGCTCTAGCTATTTATTGGGCCACCAAACATTTTCGGCCCTATTTAGAAGGTACAAAAATCTATATTCGATCTGATTGTAGGGCACTACAATGGCTTCTTGAAACAAAAGATTCGTCTGGACGATTAGCTCGATGGGCAATAAGTCTATCAGCATTTAACATTGTTAGCATCAAATATAAACCAGGAAAAACAAATACAAACTCTGATTCATTATCTCGTTATCCTCTCCCTAATCTAGCTGTGTTAAATGGAACAACACCTACATCTATACTCAATTTTTGGGACAATTGTACTCTCCTCGAAAATATCCGAATCGAACAATATAAAGACCCTCACCTTCATATTATCATTGATAAATTATCAGGTCTCAGTCATCCCTTCATTAATAATCCCTATCTCTCTTTTACTCTAATTAACGGTATTCTCTATAAATGTCGATCTCCATCAAAAAATATCTATCAACGATCAGTCGGACTTCCTCACTTACTCGTTATTCCGAAATCTATGCAACAAGAACTCCTATCTTGGACACATGATCATCCGACAGCCGGACTCTTTATCGTCTCTCAAGCCGAGTCTACTGGGATACTATGCGAAAAGATGTCACTCAGTATATTCAAAGTTGTCAGTCATGTCAGAAATTCAAATATTCTAATCAAATAATGAACTCTCCATTACAAATGCACATCGTTCGAGAACCATGGCATACTATTGGAGTGGATATTATGGGATCGTTTTCTATTACACAGCGTCAAAAACAATACTTACTGGTAGTTGTTGACTATTTTACTCGATGGGTAGAACTATTTCCTCTTAGAACAACGACTTCATCTGATATCGCTAATATCCTAGTTAATGAAATTATATGTCGTTGGGGTTGTCCTACCTATATTCTTTCCGATAATGGTCCCCAGTTCATTTCTGAACTATTCACTAATATCTGTTCGTCCCTAGGCATTAAAAATAAAAATACTTCTAATTATCATCCGCAGACAAATATGACTGAACGAGTCAATAGAAATCTTAAACCAATGTTAGCACAATATGCTCAAGAAAATCCACAATCATGGGATCAACATCTATCGAAACTTGCTTTTTCTATTCGAACTTCAGTAAATGAAACAACAGGTGATACACTAGCATATCTTAATTTTGGACGTGATCCTAAATTACCTCCACACCTACTCCTAACCACACCGACTCATGATGTACCTCTACTTCCCACATCTCTATCCTCAGAAATCGAAAATTATAAACAACAACTTCGTCATCAATTACTTACATCTCATCAATTTGCTCAAGAACATAGTGAAGTACGCAAACTTCAGCAGAAACATCAGTATGACAGTCATAGTTCTAAACGTTCTTTTAAAGAAGGATAACTTGTTTGGGTTAGCATTCCTTCAGTATTAAAACATGGAAAACTTGATCCTCAGTATCAAGGTCCTTGTCGCATCACTCAAGTTCTTACTCCCTCTTCTTTTATTATTCAGCGTCTCTCTGACGGAGTAAATTTAGGAGTCACCAACATTGATCGACTTAAACCATTTTATGAACCGAATGATATTCGTGTTAACAATACACGAAATACACCAGATCAAACTTTAAATAGACACCCACAACCATTGATGAGTATCGATACAAGCAATGCTACAAATATGATTCCTTCTCGCCCGTCAAACAATGATGACCTCTCTCCGTCCACTATTATATCAACGTCCGATTCGAATACATAGACGACCTAACCGATTGAATCTATAGCACCATCTATATCATAACAATGACCTCCCGTTCATGCAACGTTCATTAAATAACCTTTTCCTTTCCTATATATCCGGTCACACTGAGAAAGAATGACCTTCGCTTCGATCCATTGCAAATCTATCACATTAGACACTGTGTATAGTTCAACTGTCAAACATGTTTCTAATCCTGCAGATATTTCCATCAATCTGCAATATGTCTGTTAAGCAGTTGTCTGTCAAGAGTTCAATGATCAATCGTACATTTATTGTTGACCCCATCCTTCACTCTCTTTCACCAATCCTATTCATCATTAGATGTAACTTATCAGTCGGATAAGCACTGCATTCAAAAAAAAAAGAGAAATTAAATCTCTCCCTCTCTCTAACTTATCCATAGCGGGTGATTCATCCACTTTTTCATCTTCCTTACACTATCACACATTGTTTTTGTTTCTTCACTGATATTACGGTTATAATAAAAAGCCGAAATAATCAAAAAAAGGATATAAGTCTAAATCGAACAAGCAAAAATAAAAGAAAAACAACACGTTGTAAGTACTACATTTCATAACTCCAGAATGACTCTTTTCTTCTTACTGATATTCTTGCTCACTGTATTTCATACGTTTTCTGAAAATATATTCTCCAAAAACACTACAATCGCTCATCCTGAATCTGGTCTCTTCCTAAATTATATCAGTTCCTATACTCCATCTGAAATGATTATTCACAATTCAGCTATTTTCCCTATGACTAATAGCATGTGTCACTTCCTTTCACTTTCAGCTGCCGAAAAAATTCCTACTTGTCATATAACCGTTCATATTATCGGTTTAGGCTTAGGAGCAATTACTTTCGGAATGTCTGCTTCGAGCGCCATACAAGTCTCAGGTCTACAGAAAGAAGTTGCACTTGTGGGGAAATCACTCGCTGAGCTATCCGATACCACAAAGATTCATGGAGCTCAACTAGTGACAATTCAGTCAGATCAGATTCAATTAACAGAACAATTACAAATGACTCAAAGACTCCTTGACTCTATTATTCCCATAGTAGACAATCATTCAGATACTATTAATGCCTTACAAAATCGCCTCTCATTCCTACAAATACAATTTCAACATTCATTTCTGTACCAAGCACTCAGACAAATTCTCCGAAATGAGCTCACTCTTGCATTTCTAGCTCCATCCGATCTTCATACAGTCGTATATAGTATTATTCGTCAAGGTAATTTAACTTTTAATCCATCTCTTGGATCTTTACCACTAGTACATATCATTACCCGCCTGCTTATTCTTCAACAAATCGACTTCATTCCTACTACACTTTACTCCACCCCTAATCTCTCTGAAATTGAACGATTAGTAATTACTAGTTTCTTCGCAGTTCCTCGATCTGATGCACCTCTCTTTCTCCTTTATAAATTAATCACCATTCCATTCTTTCACGAGAATGAAACTCTCCAGTTAACCAAACTCCCGAGATACTTCGCCATCAATCCGTCGAATAATATCACTATCGAATGGTATGATCACGACGATCTTGGATGTGATTTCAGATTAATGACAACTTGTAGAAACACTCCACCATTTCGTTTTATGTCAAATACTTCTTGTTTAGGACAAATTCTCAACGGATTACCCTTATCAAGATGTCACATGGAACCAGTTCCTTCTTCTCCTTTCTTTCTTCGTCAACTCCACGACAACCTTAGGATCACTTCTTCCCTCCAATCACTTCATTGTGTAACAGTTAGAAAGTTCGATCTTCAACCACTCTCTCACCAAGTGTCAAGTCTCAATGAGCAGCTTATTCTTCCACCAGTCGCTCTCATCAACGTAACACCTGGTCACACCATCGTTTGTCCTGGATCCTCACTAACAGATAGTGCTACTAACCAACATGCTCCCTCTGTAATCATTTTATATAAAAACACCTCATTTCTTAATAATGTTTCCGTTCTTAATGTGCATCGCCATATTACGAGTAATAATAGCTGGTCTACAACTAAACTTCTAAAGCAGGAAGTAAAACAAATGATGCAATTTGTTGAGAAAAGATTCTCTAAACCAACGTTCTATCTTCCTCATCCAATGTACCTATCCGTAATTAGCGTACTCCTATTAGGATGCATTTTAATATGTGCTGCCATTACGACTATATGTTATATTCGTCGCTGCTATTCAACACGCTTGTTACAAGACTTACGTGTAGCCTTACCCCCTCTATCAATAACACGAAACATCATCTAAATAACACCTAATAATAATCCTTCAATAAATAAATAAACATAAACAAAAAAAAAATATTATATATAATCATAAAATATTACCTTTCCTCGCAGAAAATGGCACCTACGTATTTTTATCAACAACATGACTCCATACTCGCATCAATTTGGAACATTCTTAAAAACTTTCATGTAGTAAATTTCTGTTCTCTCCCTTCTATTGACACCACTCTTAATTTAGTCCGTGAATGACTCCAAGATCATTTCTCTTTTCATCCGCAGCTTCAGACTGCCTTGTCTACTGTCACTCTCCTTGATTCTGCTTCATCCTCGGCTTTTCTCAGACGCAATAATATTGATCCCGATGATGTCATACGTCTTACATGGTCTCTTATCTGTCTCCGACCGTCAACTTATGAATTATTTTTTGAAACTCTTTTAGAAATAAATGAATCCACCTCCTCCCAACTCCACACTACTAGACTCATTCAGCTAGCGTGGACACTTTCTTCAATCTTAAATGCCACCACAGTCAATCGTTTCTCATTCTTACCATCTTCCAATGAAACTAATCCCTCTACCATCTCATCAACAATATCCTCATCGAAAGAAAATTCTACTCCTGACACTTTGGCATCACATGTCTCACATATAACTGCACCAGCACAATCAAACACAACATTAAAACGGCAATTATCTCATGAAACAATAATTCCACAACCACTTATGTCATTACAACTTGACGTTAATGAACCACCACTTCACAATGCTCCTGCTAATCCAATTCCTCTTATGTCATTCTATGCTCCCCCATGCTCAACTAAATCCCATCTTCAACGTAAACCACGTTTATACAGCACAGTCTGTAGTCAAGCACCACAAGCAAACACTAATACAAGTCAACACGTCACCAATCATCGCTCTGATACATCGTCAACAACCTTCAACACCATCAACTCATCAACACAACAACAGGAACGCGCAACAGTCTTCTCACCAAACCACGATCAACCATCTCCTGGATTATCAAGTGCTTTTAATACCGAGATGATCGAATTATCATAGTCAAATAATCGGTTCATATACAATGATCGTCAATCGAACTTTTACTTTCCTTCTCTTTGCGTATTCTTCTCATTTGCTATGTCTATCCGTTTCAATTATATTGATCACCAGCAATAATTGTGTACGAGCGTATATTTCGTTTGGTGTTTTTTCTCCTCTTCATTTCATTTTTTTCTTTCTTTCATGATGTTTGTTGTTCATTTCTACATTTGTTTCAATCTGGCATTATTATTTTTTCTCATCTATCTAATCGAACACATAATAGTTCATACAATGTTATACGTTGTCTCTCATCATTCTAATTCACTAGCTATCAAAGTAGTTGTCATTTGTTTTTTTTCAAATCGTTACTCTATTATCTTCTTCATCACTATCATTGTCTTTGCTCGTGCCGATGCATTCGTATCGCGGCGGATGGGTGTGTGATGGATTCTACCCGTCACTACTCTTCATGACCCCGATCGGGCACATCGGTCATGTTCTAATGTTCTATTCATTAATCATTCTCTCTCGTTTTTCTCTCTGCTGGAATATATATACTGCGTTCATATATTATCGTTATTCATTATTGAAATAATCTCAGAACGAGTGAGTCGTTCCATCACAACCATCTTTGAGACAATAACAAAATTGTTGTTTCTCTTTAGTTTTACGAATTCGAGAACCTTATTCATAACTAAACCAAATAATAGTATTCAGTCAAATACAACGTAAAATATTATAATGCATATCAAGCTAAGTTCAAGCATCCATCTTTATGAATTTCGTCAAACATAGAAGAACTCAATTCGTCAGAAATCAGTTCACAGAAAATTCAATAGTGAGCTATTGTAGAAAGCATGATCAATTAAAAGAACAACATATTTACAGTTCTCATTCTATTAGAGAAAAGAAACAAGATATTATTATTGATCGTAATAGAACCCTATATTATTTATATTTTATTATGATTCCTTTTTTTATTAATGTACTTACTCATAATGTTCTATAGCGTATGCAGATATAGGTTTATATATAAATATTTCTTTAATAACAGATTCTATTTTTCTGTGATCTTGTAAGTAATTATAAGCTTGACTATAATCAACATCAAGAATTTAGTTTAAAAATTTCAGGTTTTCTAATGGATTTAACATACAAAACACTCTATTGGGGTGGAAATTTTATCAGGAATAAATTACTAGAAGAAACCGTAACGTTTTTCGAAGTTAGAAAGGCATCTTATTATTCTGCTCTTTTATTGTACAACGTTTTTTTTAAATAATTCTATATTTCAGATGGATTTTCTTCTTTCAGCTAATGCACTGTCGCTTCGTGGAGATTCTTTTTACTACTTGGTAGAAGATTTTTGTGGTAAAGAGGCCGTCGAATTACTTAAATTTCAGCTGATCGATTTTTCAATGGATTTGATTGAAGTCGATGATGTCTTCTCCATTCTTCAAATCGAATCAACTCAAACAACATCAATCAAAGAATTTTTGAGTATTCCAGGCAAAAACAATTTAGGAAACTATTCATTTTTTGTTATGCCTGGTATTCGCGTGAAACTCGAAAAATTTATTCGTTCGCTGCATGCTCTTCTTTCATCTACTGATCCTTCATTGTCAGTAAACATCAAGCCTTTTAACAATTTCATCTGAACTTCTTCAGCAATATCCGTTCTTATTAGATCTAATATATTGTCTAGAAAGGCATTTATTAACAGATTTTTCATTGGATTTTATATCAAATATGTTATCAAACATTATATGTTCAAAAATGCCTTTCGCTATGAACAATCGATGAAAGAATTCGCTGCCTCCCTATACATTCTAGGAGGCCGTACGGTTTATGAGTTCATTCGGTTGAATATTCCAAGATCGATTCCTAGTTTTAGTATTTTACGATCAATTTTGATAACTTCTTAAAAGCATTTCATTGAAGGTGAATTTCAATATGAACGTTTTAAGGACTTTATTGATTCATTCGACTGTAAGTATGCATTCTGTGGAGAAGACAGTAATGCGGTGGTAGCAAAAGTTTCTTATGACTCACGTTCGAACTCTTTTGTTGGGTTTAACTTGTCCACGCTACTTTTCTACCAGTTCATTTGGTGAACTTGAAACTTGGTATGAAGAAATAGACAAATCATCTCTTATCAATGTACATGTAATTCAACCAATATATCCTATCGATCAAATATCACCACCGCCATTCCTTCTTGCTGCTTACGGTATCAACAGTAAATATACAGCTAAAGATGTTCTCGATCGATGGTCAAGTATTTTTGATTCATGTATGAATCAAAATATTCGAATTTTAGACTTCTCAGCAGATTGTGATCCAAAACAAATGAAAGCAGTGCGGGACTCCATGGGATTTGAAGAACATCCTAATCGTTTCGAAATTTCTTTACTTAAAGTAAGTGAACAAGTATAATTAGTTTCATATGAAAAAGAAAATCAATCGGA